CATCCTTGCGCAGGGGCCATGCTATTCTTCTCTGTATCGTTCCAATTTTATCGGATGATCCCCGAAGGGAATCCATGGCTGAGGGATAGTTGGTGATAATGCAAGCGCCTTCCTCTTTGGAGGAGCAGACACAAGAATACTTCTCCTTTTTGGAGGGCTCTGCTTGCAAGCCTGAGCCCCTCTCCAAATTGAACCCATGCCCGACGTGGATGAAGAGTGTGCGGCTTCATCTGTTTTTCTTTTGGCTCCGCATTGCTGCCGTCCACGCAGCTCTTGCGCAATCAGTGAATCCCATTCTGACACTAAGGAATTCGGAAAAGGCACTCCGCTACACAGCAGAACATCGGGTAATTCCTTCAAATTGTACATGGTCCCCATGTCGGTCTCAATTTCTGCCTGGCTGGCAACGATCTACGAAGCTAGATTTCAGCTGTTCTCATTTGGGCAAAAAGTTGTTTGGGGCCGGGTTTGTATTAAGTAGTTATGTTTGTTAGTTTGTTGGAGAATTGGAGAACATGTTGTTGTTTTTGGCTGGTTACGCTAGAAACGAACACAGACTCTTTGAGCTTAGTGGTACAAAAGCTGCAGTTTAGAGTTTAGTGGTACAAAAATTTGCGCAAGGCCGCCCCAAGAATCCCCAAAAACTCGACATTGACATTGAAAGGACAAGATGCTCGAGTGATTAACCCGGACTTCGATAGCCGGGTCATGGACGGCTGATCCAGAACGCTTGACAACCTTGCAAAAGCTTCAGCTGGCACCAAACGAAAAATAGCATGGCCTTCGTGGCTTTACACATGCTGCTGCTCACACGTAGATGTAAGCCCCCTGCTGAGACCATGTGCACAGCAGGTTTTGGCGGACATACCACGACAGCAGCAACAGTTTTCTCCAGCCATCTGCACCCATTGCCGAACACAAGTAAGCGTCCACAACGGGACACAAGTCTTGCACTACTTATTTCAGGCACTATTTGCATAAATCGCAGCCCACTTTGTAGGGGAATTCCTTTTTTCTCTTCATTTCCTCTTCAAACTTTGGGGGCAACAGCTGGCATGCTGCGCAGAAACAACATGGCCTCCTGTTTTTTTTGGTTACTTCTATGCAACATTTTCTGCATGATCATGCTGTGCTGCCTGGCAGATATCACATGCAGGCTCACTTTTCCTGAGCAGCCATATCAAACAAAGGTTCGCATGCTTGCAAGATGACCTGCCGCTTACAATTGAAGGTTCCAAAAAAAATCGAAGATCACAACAAATGACCTGAAGGCTAATGTACTGGGGCCCCCAGATCCTATGCCAAAAGGCCCTCCTAGGCCAAGCCCAGCAAGCATCAAAACACCCCCCACATTTGCACGGGCTTATCTTACAACCATGCCTCACACTGAATCCCACCCTGCACCAAGGCTCCTTTTGCGGGTACATTTGATCAGATTCCACATGTTTTGCGCATATAGAGCGAGCCTGAAGTTTGAAAAACACCCATTTGGTGGGTTGGAGTTTGGCTTCAACACCTGCTGCTACAGTCACCTTCCACGCCCATAGAATGTGACCTCTTTGCAAAAAGATGCTCTGAGAAGACGACCACCTGGTCTGCGCTGATGTTGCGCGCATGAAGAAGGGTAACATGGAGCTTCTTTCACCCAAGCTCGGGGACTTATCCGAGCGTTAAACCCTTTTTGAGTCTGGTGGTCAAGATAGGGGCTTTTTTCTCTTGCGGAGCATAAGGTGAGCCTTTGCTGGCAAAGAGTTCAACTTTCCTGCAAAGATACACAAGCCACCTTCACATGGTGCCTCGCAGCATGCATTCTGGACAAAGGTACTTTTGGACACTCTTCTTCGCAGATTGACAACAGCAGACCCTCCCTGCATAATCAACAAACTATGAACTTTACATGGCAACCTGCGATTCCGTCAGGCCCGGACACTCCTGGCATGAAGCGGGCGCTAGGTGCCAGTCCCTTAGTATCCATGTAGTGCTAAGCATTCAAAAGCCGTCAAAGCCGAAGCTTCATGATTTGACATTGTTTGCACAGAGATGAACTGCTGCAGTTGAATGTCTCGCGGTTTGTTCCTGCGCAAAGCTACACCGAGCCAAGGGGCGACTGGTACATGCTCCGTCCAGGTAAGCGTGTTGATGTCGTAGCCTTGAATATAAGTCATCACAACAAATCACAACAACAGTCATACTAGTCACCATATCAAAAATGATGACCTCAACATCATAACAGGCGGCCGCTAATGCAAGCGCCGGATTAGGAGTTTGAGATCGCGACTCCACACATCTCCCAGCACCGAGTGTCCCGAACGCAGTTCGGACTGGCGTCCGCCGTAGATCTGCCAGGAACAGAAAGGAACTTCCCGATTTGCTGGCTGCTAAACCTTCAACGTAAGCTCTTCCATGCCAGGCCCGCGTAAAGCTTGTCATTCAAAGTCGCTGCGCCATGGTGATCCCGTGGGCATGGCCTCCATGTGTTTCCAAGTTTGGGAGATTTAGGACTCCTTGGGTTTGGAGAGGCTTCTTTACCCGCCGGACTCGGCTGCGCAGGGTCAACCAATTTTTTGTGGGGAGAGTCATGCCCGCAGAGTTCAGATCCTTCATTGGTTGCCTGCACCATGTCCTCAAGAGTGCAGGTTTGGCTGAAGAGGCCAGTTGTCATCTCAATCTTCAAACTCCTCTTGTGTGCAGTGCTTCAGGTGATTCTTAACACCTGGGAACTTCTCAAGAGTTCAGGCCCCTGTTCTTCACCAAGAATCATTAATGATGTAGTCCTTATTTTCAGAGCCCCTCCCCCTTGAGGACCTGTAACTTTGCTGAACTCCCAACGGCCAAACCTTAAAAAATACAGATCCCTCTCCACAATCCCATAAAATATGAAATTCCATAATAAGCCCTGTGTCCCAATGTTGCAAAGAGTCTGAATCAACGAAAGCATGCTTCAGCCATCACATCACGTCTTTCCCGCCTGGCACCCTTTGCTGGAGCCTCATACCAGGCATCCTGGTGCCGGATGAAAAGCTGCTGCTAAATGCAGTTGAGGTTCTTGAGTTTTGGAGCTTGGTTTTGGGAGCTTGGGTTTGGGACAACGAGGCTCCGGTCTTGGAGCTTCGGCTTAAGGAACTCTCGCGGTCAAGACGCCAGTTCACGGAGCTTTGGAAGATACAAATATGGGGATTGCAGATTTGAGGCTTCGGGGTATTGACCTGTACGTCGGCTCTCCGCGAGCTTACCGTGTGATATCCGGGCTTAGGGATGAACAGCCAATTTGATGGTGGGCCTTTGTTAGTGCGTCTGGATGCGAAGTTTCTTCTGATTAACAGCCATTTGGGGTTACCAACCTAGAGTTGTTTCTAAGGATCCTCGGCTAGACAGAATCTAGTACTCCTCCACATACTGCAGAAAACAGATGTGCTGATTGCAGTACCTACAGCAAATATACGTCTATGATATATATATATATATGCATGTGTACATATATATATATACATAAATATCCCATATGCTCATATGGCGTACATGAGCATGTAAATAAAAAGTTCTATGCATATTTACATTTCACATGTGGAAAGTGTATACGTATATCCGCGTTGTGTGCGTTGTCCAGCTTTGGGATACTCCGGGAGAGGATCTAATCCAAATGATCTGTGGAAAGGCAGAACGACCCCAATGCTCTCCTTACTCATTATTCAATGGTAGTGTTAATTTATTCTTCCGTCTTCTCTTCCATTTGATTCTCCATGATTGGGCAGTGCCCCCATATCATCCCAACACTCCCACAATACTCTGGGGCATCTACCTTTACATGCCTTGGGGGGTCTAAATACCTATTTGTGGCTCTCAACCTGCATAGCCCATGTGAACAAGTGTCCATTTCATTTTCATGGTCTGTTATCAGTAGTGAGGCCCCTGAACTCTAAACCCCAAACCCCTAGACCTTGGCGTCGAACAAACCTACTTGAAGACATACCACAGGCCTCGCTGAAGTCGTAGAGCCACACATCATTGTAGTAAACATACACCTCATGTGTGCCATAGTCTAAATTCCTAGTATCCCACTTAGTAAGCGCTATACTAGTCCGCCATAATATCCAAGGAATGTTCAGGTTGTTAGGAATCAGCTTGGTATGCAAGTAAGAGCCGGGCCGTTTTGTGGGGAAGACAAGTAAGTGTTGGGGTTTGCATGGAGACTGCTATGTAAGATTTGGGCTTGGCAGCTTACCTGCCCTTCGCGAGCTGCTTACAAGCCCCTTACGAGCTGCTTACGAGCTGCTTGTCAGCTGCTTACGAGCGGCTTACGAGCCGCTTATGAGGCAACCTGCCTGCCTGCGCCTTGCTGAACCGCCTGACCTGCCCCGAAATGAACATGTCTTGCGGGATGCATGTTCTCCCGAGACCTCCCTGCTACGGAAGCCAAATTCTCCTCACGAAGTTTGTACACCATGGATTCTCCTATGCTTCTCCTTTGCCTCTCCCGAGCCTAACAACCTGAAACCTAACAACCAGAAAATTCCCTTGATAATAGTCCCCTATTTAAGAGTTTAGACTAGACTATGGCTCATGTCTGGGCTGCGAAGTATGCCGCAAAGCCTTGGAAATCAACGCAAGGCCTGTTTTTTGCTTATCGCTCTCTATGCTTGTTGCCCCTAACTCTAGAAGCCAAAGTGGAGTGGTAATCATTAGCAACTGTCGAACGACTTCCCCACAAAAGCGCTGAATTTCCAGAAACCGGGGCACTTTGTTGGATTCCGGCCTCTCATTGGGCCAAACAGCCAACCCAAAAATCACGCTAGCAGCGTGAGGAAGAACCACATTTCGGGAAAGCCCCGCCTAGCAGCGCAGCACTGATAGCCAGCATTGTAAAAGCACAAATCAAACAACTAGGATGGAAACATCAGGAACTGTCATAAAAAATGCCAACAATGAAGATGCCTATGTGGCATTCCCAGAAATCTAGGCGCATACAGGATGCAATGGAAACGCGTTAAGCCTGAGTGGAAACCTCATATTAGCACGTTTTAATTCCCCCCTGGGTTCTAAGAGATTAATAGGGACACGAGCACATGGGCCCCCCAACTATACCAACTGACGTAATCGTTGTGCACCCCATTAGGGCTGTTGACACTTGCAAGGAAGAGCAAAGAAAAGCAGCCATTTGGCATAACATGCCTCAACAGAGCGCTGACTGCCTCACGGAATCAACAAGCCACTTCAACATCACCAACGCAAGAAAACATCGTCATACTCCCTTTCAAGATCTCCCTGATCACTGATAGAATTACGACTCCAAGCCCAAACTTTAGGCCTTGACATCCAAATACTCAGTCTTGAAAGACCACTTCCAGGGGAGTTTCTCAGACTCGTCCTCCCACAATTCTTACAAGGGACCATGAAGTTTTTGTTACAGCAAAACAGGTAGTCAAGCCATAGCTTTGGGAGACTCCCAAAGAACTATGCTGGGGGGCATGCGCTGCCGTCCTGATGCTCCGCCTTAGATTCGGTTTCTACTAAGCATACCAACTTGCTGAAGGCTCCTCGTGCAGCAAGGACGATAGCTTCTTAGGATATTCAGAAAGAATCCTTAACTACAGATACTGACCTTCTTACGAATCACCAGTGAATCATGTACATGCAGACTTGTTGTGTGATACCCGCCGCCTTAGTCCCTGACACTTCCAGCACTTAAGTGGCGGCCACCAAACATTGCCAGGTACTTCCTGCGCAGTGCAGATCACTGTGTCACATCGCATGCTCGGAGTCTAGAAGGATAAAAGTACTCCGGAGACTCCACCGAAACACTCCTCTATGTACCATGCGTGATTCCCAGGCACCCCTTGCATACCATCTGCATAAAAAACATGTGTCAAGCATGTTCTGAGACAGAGCAATGCAACGGTCTTGCCAAGGTAGTCGCGGATGAAGGACTCGGCTGTTGCATCTCGCACAGCAGCATGAGATCTACCTTCTTGAACTCTCCTTGCTAGATGTATCTCAAACGGACATCAAACAGTTTGCTGGTTTCAATATATGATAAGGGAAGCCATGTCAGGAGGTCAAAACAGCGAGTACCCGCTTGAACTGTGAGGATGTCTGAGGCGTCAGCACCAGTTCCACCCCATCCTTGGCAGCTTTAAGAAAACATCTTGTGGCCCGCTGCAGTGATAAGAGCAAACCCCAAACCTCCCACACTTTCTCCACTAACCCTGACATTCGATCGAGCCGGGCGACGACAGCCGGCTGGAAACGGCGCACCTTGGTGCCACCTAGCGCATCTCTCGTGCAACACTGCTTCAGGCTGTTGGGGATTCGGAATGAAGGCTTGGAGTTAAACAGCATCCTGTGCGAAACAGGAGCATCATAAACAATAGGCTTGTGGTAGCAATAGGAAATAATGTCCAGTAGCTACTGTTGAGGCTCCAGGAATTCTGCCCAGACTCTATCAGAATCTAGCGAGTAGAAGTGTGAGAAGTCTTTCTCTTTGAGGTCCTCCAACAATGTGGGGAGTGGCTTCAGTCCAATGTGATGGAGGATGAAGTTACATCGAATTTAGGAGTCCCTTTCACATTATTAAGGCGCAGACATGCAAGTTTCCTCGCGAGAGTCAAGCCCTACCTACCATCATGTCGACATGCCCGGATTGAAGCCGAATGCCTCCTACGTAGCCCCTGCAGACAGCAGACTGTCCAATCCACCAATGGCTGGCTAGCAGGGGAAAAGTCAGGCAACTCACGCTGCATTCGCACAGTCATATTGCATAGTGACATATTCGTAAAAATACCATTGTTACCAGTGTCATGAGCCTACTAGTAGGAATCATTCCCATGAGCAATCTCACGGCAAAAATCATCAGCAAAAACGAAGCAGACAATCACAGGCTCGTCCCAACCCAGGCGCCTTGGAAGTCTATCTCCGCTGTCATCTGCGAGCACCTCATCCTTAGACATCGTGTGTATCTCAGGGCTCTTGGAGCGGTCAGGAACTCAGATTGGAAAACCAACGTGGAAGCCCCGTGCAGGTACAGACAAGCCGGCATGCACCATCTTCCTGACACGCTCATGCTATGCAGTGCCACAACTCCTAGTTGCTCCTGCTTTGGAGGCTACCAAAAGTCCTCATGTGAGAGCCCACATAAATAGATCACTCTTTTTGGGCACGTATCCAGGCTGCAACCAAACCACATCACCATCATGAGTAGTTTCCCTTTCGATGTTGAGAATGCAATTCTCATTCTCGCTCGCCAGCAGCAGTAGAACAAAAACAACACTGCTTCTCCTCCTCTACACGCACCATCACGACTACTACAACTGCTAGAGAAATGATAGCAGCGGCTGCTCCCATCGAGACTATTCGTACCACCGCTGGAGGAGGAAAAGCAACAGAAGGAGCAAAAGCACTGCCAGCACAACTGCCACTACCACTGCTACTGTTGCTGCTACTACTGCTACTGCTAATACTACTGCTACTCGACAACACCTACAGCTGTATCACTACTGCTCAACATGTTGCAAGCTCGATGGACTGGGAGGCCCTGAGGTAATCTTATCTACGGCTGGTTCCGCGCCGCTGTAAAAGCAGTATGAAGGGACAAAGGGCAAGGAATCATAAGGCTTCAACCAGAGAACAGATTCTCACGTCAGCCTCCCTTCTGCTTCTCTTCGAGAAAAGGACTTCCAACAAAGTAATACATGACGCTCAACACGATGAAGTTCCAACGGATACTTCCTTTCAGCGGGACTCAAAATCAGGAGCACTTTTTGAATTTAGTCATCATCAGCAGACATGGCCTCAAAACAAAATAGGTTATCATTTCATGTTCTACGCGTTAACTTCCTGTCAACTCTCCATGAGATAGAGGCTGGTTTCGAGAAATGTCCAGACTTCCTCGAATCTCCTACAGACAGGGGCTGGGCTTTGGAGATCACCCACAGGTCAACGAGGCATTTCTCTCCTGGCCTCAGCATCTTCATGAGCAACTTGAAGGACCATACCGCATACTTGATCTCCAGTGACAAACCGAATTACTTAAGCTAATACCTAGGAAATCGTGAGACGTGGCATTGCGACTTCAGAAAGCCCCGAATTCAACCGCTTTGGTCTGGGTTCGTATCTACTAATGAGCTTCATTGACACATGTTTTGCCTTCTGTCCCTAACTGACGTCTCTGTCTCTCCCTCTCTCTCACACTCTGAAGGGTCGTAATGACAGCTTGTCAGAAGGCTACTAGCAGGACTTGTGTCCGCAAAACCTGTGCTGACCCGGAGAACGCGATGCACTTCAACATGGCAGCTGGAATGAAGATACGCGCACTGGAAGCGACAAGTTGACCATAACAGCGCAAGCGCGCCTGTGCCAACTCACCGCACACGCGACGCTCTAGAATACGAGGGGCTTGGCCTGGTTTCTTCGTGACATAAAGCGTTTTCTGCAGATACCCGACCTTCCGCCACGTTGAGCTCTAGCTTCTTGAACTCTTTCTGGTAAAGCTTCTGCATGCATCATAGGCCACCTCTTTGAGGAGAGCACGGTGCCCGGCTTGAGCCATCTTGGCGCAAGAATCCTACAATATCTTAGAGTACCACCTCTTGTAGATTAGATCCATGACGTGAACGTGCAACACGGACGTGGGAAGACTAGGCAAAAAAAAACGGAAACGCGCAAATTCTGAAGGGTGCAGTGCCGCAATCTTGCCAAGAATCAGGAACGAAACCCTGCCTGGTGGCTTCTTATCCCAGATTTGCGCTTGGGATTGAGGGGTTAGGCGCTAGAAAACAAAGACAATAAGAAGAGATTTGTTTCTTTGAAGACCAACCTTCATGACCATTACTTTTCTGTAGTTGACCTGCTACTCTTACGATCCACTCAGCAGACCCATGTTTTATTCCCTAGGTTAATTGATCAAATCCCAAAGCCAAGTGATCGTGATACTGGGTTCCCTGGGCTTCCAAGCAAGCAGAAAAGCCCCTCCCTCTTCAAAGCTTCTCACTGTAATCCTGAGATGCGAGCTGCGGCGTGTACTCAAGATCAGGAATGTCCTCCTCCATCTCATGGAAAGCCCTGGTGAAGGATGCGCCCAGGTATAGGCAGTTGTTATTGTCAACCCGAGGTCACAAAGTGAGTCTTGTACATAAATATGGAATTGCTATTACAACCAAGTCCTGGGAACGGAGGATGGCTTTACACCTCACCAGAAGCTCCCACTCTTCCTATAGAGCGCAAATCCCGAGAATTATGACCGAATGGTTCATGCGGATTGACCATTACTGATTCTACTTGTTTTGTGCACATTGTGCCATGCAAGACACCAAAGGAGGCGTCAGGCTCCACCAAAATGAAAGCGCGAGCGGTTGGAGCTCCTCAGGCGCGTGTGTTATACTCCGACCTGAGAGACCAATGAGATTGTTCAAACCCCTCTAGAAACAGCAGCTTCTCTTTGCAAAACCATAGAACAATTTAGGTAACCCACACAGACACTACTGAATCCTGCACAACTGCCAATTCAAAGCCCCATTGTTTCCAGAAACACATCCATACTTGCAGACCGATTGGCAGATACAAACTTCCCAGACCGTGCCTCTCCTCAAGCCGATGCGTGGTCTGAGCAAGGGGTAGCCGCAGTTGCGGTCATAGTTGTAGCTTGACAGGATTAGGAGTAGAGTAGGATAGGCATCAACAGCAAAAGTGATGGAAAAAGGAGTAGAAGGAGAACTCGTCAAGGGCGCAATAGCTGCAGCTTAAGCAGCAGCTGATTAGCAAAGGTGGCGCCACGGTAATCTGAAAGACATGCGAGCAGCACTAAGGAAGGCCCAGCAATGCCGGTTCTGACATTCAGCTTGCGCTGTCGCCCGTTCTCTAAGCCCGGCTGTCAAGTCAAGGCAGAAGCGCAACAGCATGCACAATTATGTAGCAATAGGAAGGGGAGGAGGAGGAGGCGGAGGAGGCTCAATTGTGCCGGGAAGCAGCACAGATAGTCACAAGAGGCGCTTTTGTCTTGTGATTTGAACGCTTCTGGCCAGATGAATTTACAGTCCGATCAAGTTGAAAGGAGTTCCCGTGTCATCCTTTCATGGAAACTCACAATGCGAGCCTGCAATTGCTGATGAAGGCTCCTACAGGCCCTGTGCCGAAGCAAATGATGCTCTTGACAACACTCCGGCCTTGCCCCCAAACATAATCAGGTGCGAGCGGTTTGCCACAAGGACGTGGCCGCGCCTAGCAACACCCAGCAACATCATGCAAGACCTGACTTCCATTTCCAAGGGTGTATTATTTACAGCTTAGAAAGCTGAAAATGTGAGTGAGTTCATTGGATGGACTCCGTTATAATGGACGGGGGCTTGGTAAAACGAATGTCTAAAGATGCTGCGCAGAAGTCTTGATGAACCTTTGCGGGATACACGGCATGCTTTGGACGTTTCAAAATGGAGCTCCCAACTACACGTAATGCACCCAAAATAGTGGGTTTTTGTTGTGGTGTGGAAAGCAACGACTGTGTCATTTCGGGGTACATGAGGGTGTTCTTGTATGACGTAATCTAGTTGACCCAATTACAATACCCCGTGCTGTACTACTATGGAAAATCCTCCAACTTCACCCACATACTTTTACCATACTGCTTGTGACCTCCACTCCCCTTAAGCACCACTCATTTCGAGGGAGGGTCCCCTGCTTGCTCTCCATCTTGTGGAACAAGAGGACAATTGTCAAGCCGCAAATGCGAATTGCACTTCTTTTTGAGAACCTGAAAGACAACTCAAATATCGTATCCAAGATTCTGCCCTAAAGCCATACCCTTTTATCATCATTTGAAAGCTCTCAAACCGCACCCGAGAGAGGTCTTGTCCCCTACAACATGTGGTATGTCGAGGGGGGTAACAAATTGCTAAAGCCGAACACAAGCCCAGCACAACCCTACATTCCAAGGGGCTGCCTGGGCACAGGAGGATTTGCAGTTTGAACTCTGCGCCAAGCACCACCGCCTCCAGGCCAAGGTGTGAAGACCTCGGAAGGGGTATACGAGAATTACGAGAATCACATGGAATTTAGGGCTTTCAGACGCTTGGCTTTGGAGTTCAACAGGCTCAGGATTGGGGAGAAAGGCTGTAGGGTGGAGGTTGCAGCACCTGGGTAGAGGACATGCTGCAATATCAAAGCAAATGTTGCAATCTGGAACCTAGGAACTCAAAACGAAACACTTTGTGTTGCACAAGTTAAGTTCCGCGCCCAAAGATCGTTCCTGGAACTAGCTGCGGCTTCTAACCATGGCATGCCATGCTTTGATGAGTGACCCACAATGTCATGGATGCTGGGTGGACTCAGGCATTGAGGAACTGCATGCAGGAATTGCCCAGTCCACTTTGAATGGCTGCCAGCCTTGCGAACTTCACGGAGGTCTCCGTGCATCCACCCATCAACACCAATTTACCTGACTGCAGACCGTCGACCAGACCGTCTACCATCATCCACGATCCCTCCACGATCCCTCAAGGCTCCTGGAAAAGGAAAAAAAAACTCTTAGAGGATCTTACGATTGATCCTAAACATGCAATCGGCACATTGGGGAGACCTTGCCGGCCTGCGACTGCCGTCTGTTCGCAAGAAGTCTTTACATCCCAAACCAGAGACCATAATTCAGGGATAATTCGGATGGCTCACATACCAGGACGAAAGTGGCAAAATTACCAGGTGTTCAAGCTTCTGCATTAAGTGTCCAGCTGTTATTGCGAACAGCCGCGGCACCTTCCTTCCTCAGCATGCAGCTTGCACTGAAGCATGGTGGATCATCGCCATTCTTTCTGTCCGTTCTTCCTGCTGCTAGCGCAGCCTAGTCTTACACTAGCCACACTTTTTGTTCTGGTTATTTATGAACAGCACTATCAGGCAGGCACCCGGGTCTCAGACCACCTTCCCAAAGGACCGTCGCCATACTTGATGGGATGCCTGCTCGGCAGTCTGGGAATCTTTCGCACAGGGTATATACGGGACTATATCAGGGTTCCATGGGGGTGATGTAGGGTTGTGGGGGGTTCAGGGATGAGCAGCGCAACCGAAATGTGGAGATTCCAAAAAGGTAAGGACCCCAAAATTCCAAAGAATATCCTGCATTGAGATGCATCTCATGAAGGACAAGAGCCCGAATCCAAGAAAGCAACAAGAAGTGCGGCTCAAAGATGCGAGTTCCTGGAGAATCCTAAATGCAAAACCAAAAGTAAGTGCATGCTGTACGGCATCGGATTCTGGTGCTTAGGGTTGAGGACTTAGGTTTTAAAGCAGCAGATTTGTTCGAGGATACTGGATGACTCTGGCATACTGATTTCTCAAAGTTTGCCGTGGAGGTTCTTTGCAGGAAATGCCCGGCTGAACCTAGCCATACAAAACTGTTGCATATCATTTCAATCTAACGAGGACAAGAACTTCTTTGAAGTTTGTGAGGATTGTGCTGGCATTGGATGAGTGGCATTGGATAAGGTCTGGAAACTAGGCCACCGCGCCATTGGTTGGTGTCGAGGTGGAAGCGCCACATGTCTGAAAGAAACATCACCTAGAAGCAGCTCAGGTGAAATCACACTTTGTTTCTCCGGTGAGTTCACATGCTGACGCAAATATGCAAAGGGCCACTGCAAAACTTGTAAAACTTGAACCCGCCCGCTGCACGCAGGAACCCATGATTCTCAAACGTGATCACAACGCCCGTGGGCAAAGCAGGCTTGAGACTGCAATCGCATCTTTTCCAACCACATATTTCCAGAATAGCACACGTAGGTTTCGAAAAACCTTGCAGCTACCTGACTAAGGGCTGCAGGGCACAACAAGCGCCTTAAGGACGCATACAGCGGATGCCCATAACAAGCTGGGGCTTGCAGGCAATCCAAGAGTTCAACTGTTGCAGTAGACAGCGACAACTCAACAGGGCATTGATATCCATACATGCCCCAGCTTAAGCGCCAGCGCCAATCCAAGTGCCTTTGGACTCTGGTGGCTTCTCCGCAGCCCTCACTTCCTGGGCTTCCCTTCCTTCCAGCGCGGCCTGCTTGGCCTCAACTTCTGCCTTGGCGTTGGGGAAGTTGCTGGAATCATACTTGTGGCTACCTGGAGCTCCTTTCGAAGAAGGGAACTCTGCCTGGTTCTTTGAAAAGATGCTGCTGGGGTAGTCTTCTTTTGACTTTCCGTGGTGCAGCCATGGAGCTATTGCATTTGCCATGACACGCTTAAGCTTCGCCCTGCCAAACAGGGGCTTCGCACAGGTGCGAGTCACTTGTCTTTCTTTGTTCGAGGGACAGCCAAACAAATCCAGAACAATGGCATGAGACCAGGTGTTGGACACTACATCGGTGGAGTCAAGCTCTCTAAGTCTTTTTCTTTGAACTACGCGTCCCTCTACAGGTTTCCCGACAACATCGATCCTATGAATTTTGAGGATATCCAGAGGAGGAAAAACGTTGGTGCAGACTGCTCGCAGTTCGCAACCCTGGGGCCTTCTCAACCCTAGGCCCCTAACCCTCAGAGGCAAGCAAAAACCCTAAACTCCAATGAGCTCCAAAGGAAACTGCACCGGTCCTTCCATCATCGTCACACTTGACCTTCCTGTTTCGGGCCACCACCTCAAGGGCAAAGAAACATCCATCTGCCATCATGAAATAGAGAGGAGAATCGCCAACTAGGCCAGCTAGAAGGAAAGATGGTGCGAAAGATGAACGGGACTTTTTCAAAAATCCTCCAACTCGACTCCCCAACCGCGTTCACGGCCTAGGAATTGCCCCCCTGCCCCGCAGCCTTGCGGAACTTCTCGTCACCTTGCGTCTGACAGAGTTTAGGTTGCCGCGTATGGGTCTAGTAAGGTTTAGCTTCTGAGCATTTGAGCTCATTTAGTGGTTCAAGCATTGGGGCTGCGGATGCCTTTGTCCAGGAAAGCCGGTGATCCTTACGTAGTTCTAACGTACAATCTTCGTGGATCCAGAAGAAAGAACCCTAACTGACTTGCTGGCTAACCTGGAGCCGCAAGCAGCTCTCTGCACCAAATTACAGGTCACTCTGCAGCATCTCTTTGGAGGGTTGAACAGACAACATGGACTATGTAACTTGCAGCTCTCAGAAAACCTTGCACCCTGAACCCTTACTGTCAACCAGCCAGGCCACGAGTGTACGCCTTGAGCCTCGCGACCGATAGCCCGGTGGCTTGACACTTGCCACAGACGACATACCCTGTTGCCTGGGCGCAGTGTCAAAGGTAAGAACTTGGTTGCCGAGAATTGGAAAATTACATAAATTCAGAGCACTATGCCTGCAACACAAGCAACAGCGGTGACCAGGGTGACAATTAATTGACAGCTTCCTGCCGAGGCTGTGAAGCAGATTGATCTTTGTCTGGACCGGTGTTAGAGCACGAAGACAGCTTGAATTTTCCGAAAACACGTGAAGGGGATCTGCTTCTGACGTAGAGCAGGGCTTCGGAGAAATGCCTTCTGGGACGGACCCAGGCTTTGCCTAGTGGAGAACATATTTGAAGCCACGGAGCATCGCATTCAATGCAATCGGTCGCATTCTCTGGATCTGCAATCCTGGCACAAGCATGCGTTTGAAAAACAGGGCATTCCATGTCCAACGAAGAATGATATACATCCTGCCTGGACTCCCCAAAGAAAACACTAACAACTCCAGTGACTAGTCAACCTCCAAGACTGTTTTGCTTGCAAATTCCAGCGGCACCTGAAACTGCATGCCAGCACAAAAACGTAAATCTGGCAAGGTACCCACTCATCTTTTTGGTACCTTTGCACCTGCCACAAACGTTGAGAACTGGTCGGGCTCGGCCAATTATGCTTGAAATTTGGGACCCACTTGCTGCCCAGTAAAATATGACGGTCGGAGGCAAGCAGCTGTCGAGACAGACCCGCCTGAAGCACTCCAGAATCCCCGTGCCTCCGCAGTTGACGCCTGTGGACAAACGCTGAAACAAGCGCTGAGGCAGCAAAAGAATCTGCGGCCACGATCTGAGAGTCTGACAATTGATGGGACCTTCCTTCACCTGCAGTGCTTCCTTGGCACGAAGGCAGAAATCCCAAGACGTGACGAATTGCGCTTATGTCGCAATATCTATCTTCATCCAGCGAAACCCAAGCTATCTTCTTTACACTACATTTGTCTGGTAGACAGACCTTGACAGGTGCTGAACGAGGCCTATTCTACTTCAATTCCTCACTTCTACTCCTTCCTTAGTGACTGTCCTGTGCATCTTTCTGCCACAGCACTGCCTTTGCGCTCGATGGAACAGTAAGAAGAAGGCCAGCCTGCCATGGAAGCCCCTTCTTTGATCCAGTGATCTGGTTTGGGTCACTATGTCTTGAAAAGAATTGAGTAAGGTCTGTTTCGAGTGCTCTTGTGTTCAGGTGGTAGTCTCTCTGCCTGACCTGAAAAAAAAGAGAGACCAAGAGGGGAGAGAGAACCAAAAACAAAAGATCGATCATCTTCAGAGCTATCACGCTCCTTGAAAGATTCCCAAGCAATTGAATTCTGATTCTAGGGCGCTGGATGAGGACTCAAACCTTGAGAGACTTCGACCAACAACTCCGAACCATGAGCCTGCGTCAACCCAAAAGAAAAGACATAGACTTTCACAGGCCCCCTTTTTCTAGCCTGCAGCAGCCCCCGACGCTCACCGCATCTGCCTGGGGTGCTGGAGCATTGGCTGGGGAGATTGTTATCGTCCGTCCCAACTAGAAAGCAAATTTGTGGCCACGTCAAATGGGCTTCTCTAACCTTAGAACTCGATCTACTTCGACGTGACCATGATGTTCAGACAATGAAAAGGCTAGAGAATTGGAAGGTGCCAGCAATGCGACGAAACGAAGAACAGCTTTCCTTCCAATGATGCTCACCCAAAGCAGGTGGCTGTAGAGAGCATGGGCGTGGGGCAAAGCGGTTTGCGGACAGATTGGTGTGTTGTTCTGATGTGATGGGAGATGTGACGTGGGGAAGGATGCTGCAGAGATAGGGAAGGCCCTATCTTGCTATCGGACGCGATTCTCGTCAAATTTGCCAGATTGCTCGCCGGCTGAAGTCTGAAGGGACTGCTTTCAGAAGTGCGAGCACTACAGTTGTGAATCTTCAGCGAGCCTGACCTAAGCATATGTCATCTGCTGTAACAGTCCATCTTTGGATGTAAGACATCCAGGACAACTGTCTTACGCTGAGTAACTTGGACCGTCCCAGCTCCTGTAGAGCCGTGTGCTGTCCAAAATGGAACTACTGGCCAGCAAGAAGTGAGCAAGAAGTGCGCTCAAAACCTGCCCTTGCAAATCCCCGCGTTGCAGATATCTAATGGAAAAACGCACATTCAGTGAAAAGATTGCTCCCCAGAACTTTCCGAACAGAGAGCTGGCCAAAAGGTTGAAGAAACAGCCTGGACTTCGGAGACACTGCCCTCATACTATGATGTGAGGATGTGAGATTGCCTATTCCGTGCAGTTTCCACACGAACCTCCTCTGAACTTTCCTGGATACAGGGCCTGTAACGGGCGCCACGGCCTCTAAACTTTACCTTCATCTTACTGCTGCCCCCTCTACTCTTGAACTGGGCAGAAATATGATTGTCAGCTCCTATGATATGATGATCATGACTGGTGTCGTTCTGCTACCAAGATGATGTTTCTCACATTGCTAGAATTTGTAGTGCGCCTGGCCGTTTCTCGTTTCTCTTTTCACTGTCGCATGATCTGTTCTAAGCATACACATCCACCTTAAACCTTGAACTCCGAAGCCTGGACCTTTTGCCTTTAAGCCCCATGATTCGCCGTCGATGCAGCATGGCAACATCGTGTACAGCGACATCTTGTACGGCGAACATCTCCTGCTGCCTCGACAAGGTTTAGGATTTAGGTTCCAGTGAGTGGCGCTGCAGTTGTTCTTAGTATTACTATCAGAGTTTCAGCAATAGATTAGATGTAGCTACTAATCAAAGCTAACATAAGGGCAGCGGCAACTGCACAAGTGAAACAACTCGACTGGGCATCAATGCCTGCCTCAGACGCACTGGATGATGTTCTACACGTCCTGCACGTGTGGGCACCTTTGCACATTCAAGTACAGGACGTCCTACAAAGAAGTTTTCTTTGGCGGAAGCTGCAACAAAAAGTGCGTCGTGGGTGTAACTCGGGACCTGCATGTTGATTCCACAAAAGATGCGCTGCTGTGAATCAAAACGGCTTCTTGGCTTCTGATCTTGGAATTCCCTTAATAACCCTATGACCCTTTCACACTGGCCAAAGTAGTCTCCCATCAAAATTGAATCAGATCAAAATCGAGACGAAACCCAAAAATGGTACAGTTTCTCAATAGTAAGCCTATTTATTGCAATGTGAGTTTGTCTTTCACTTTGACTATCGTTACATTAAGCTGATTCTGCGTTGTTGTTTGGCTCCACAAGGGCTGCTGCTGTTCAGAAAGCCGCTCACATGTAAGAGTAAGGACTCTGGATGTTGCTGAGTTATTTGTAATTTGCTTTCATTTCGAATTGGATTTGACTTGGTTATAGCTATGAACTTTTGAATTTAGCTGATGTCAGTTCGATTTGTGGCGTTTGCTTTGGTTTAGAAGTCACAGGGGTCCAAGACCATAATCCTTGGCTACTGCTTTGTCTCACGCACTCCAAGATCCAATGTTCGGACTCAACTCAAGGTAGGCTGTCTACTCATCATGTCTTGTGGCACATCCCGTGTGGGGGCTAACAAATCCCGGCTCAGGAGAGAGTTGGCAGAACGCATCCCGATGCAGCGTGAAGCACGTCTGTGTTGTCTGTCTCTCACGGCCCATGCTGCCGATGAGGCCAAAGCAGCGAGCGACCATGGCCACCCACACCTCCCGCATCCCGCCAGAAGCTTCGCGGAGGGTTTTGGGGTTGAAGGTGAACAGGGCGACTGTTTGTGGTTCATACTACCACAGGCATTCCCTGCACATGCCTGAAAGCTATTCAGGAACAACCACTACTCAGAGAAAAAAATGGAAGTTGTGCCTCACATAGCGACCATAACCACAAGCTTGGAAATACTGTCATCAACACATGTCTCCAAAAAAACGCTACCCTCAGAACCTGCAGAACCCTAGAATCGAATTCCGAGAGTTGGGGGAGGGGGGGGACTTGGAGGCGCTCCAACCTCTGTCCGCTGGCACCCAAAGCGCCCGACGAAAATGGACCAACTTTGGCTTGGTGCGGCTCCCACACATACCTGCAGCCACATACTGCTTCGGGTTTGGTTTTGGAGGCAGCTAGCTTAATTTCGGTGCCTTGCATTCACGGTTGGTTCAGTACAGTTGGAGAGGAGATTTCATGCTTAGACGCCACGATTCAAGGGCACCTGTAAACACACTGATGGGTAGGAGTCGGAGAAGCAGCAGTAGACGCTGGAGAGTCGTAACGCAGGCAGCAACAAGAAGACGACGGCCCCTGTCGCAATCACCATCATCGATAGCCACCCGCCATCATCACTTTACCACTGTCATTACGCCACAGCAGCAGAAGAAGCAGCAGCGGCGGCGGCAGCAGTAGCGGCAGCAGCAGGAGGCAGTGGCAATTATTGCCGTAGTTGTTGGTGGTAGTGGTGGTAGTAGCGGTACTGGCAGTGGTGGTGGTAGGAGTAGGAGTAGAAGTAGGAGTAGGAGTAGGACTAGGACTAGGAGTAGTAGTAGTAGTAGTAGTGGTAATAATCGTCGTCGTCGTCGTCGTCGTCGTCGTCGCCGCCGCCGCCGCCGCCGTCGTCGTCGTCGTCGTCGTAGTAGTTGTTGTTGTTGTTGTTGTTGTTGTAGTTGTTGTTGTTGCTGTTGTAGTAGTAATACCAGTACCGGTACCTGTACCGGTACCTGCACCAGCAACAATATCAGTACCAGTAGCCGCAGCAATAGCTGTAATAGGAGCACCTGCTGCCATGCTGGATATAATGAGCATGAAAAAAGCTTGTGAAGCTGGCATGCCTCTGCAGCTTCTGCACACTTTGTTGAGCTTCTGGGGCACACCTGTACAGGTTAGAAGATGGCTTCTTGCGGTCAATGATAAACCTTCGACTTTCACACTACACTACGTACAACCTGTGTGAATTAATTGCAATTTCTATTCTTCGAGAGATACGTGGCCATTACGGGTCGGGATATTGTTGCAACTCATATTGCTACGTCTCAAGATAACAGTTGCCACCCAAAAAAAAGTGACAGAAGAATAGCGAAGTCTCAGAGTCATCATCTTGCCACATGGTATGAATCCCTTTTTGCGACCATGTTTTCTCAACCGGGCCTCAAAAAGTTGTATCTAACCTAAACAGGCAATCCAGCATCAACAAGAGCTGGCACCACACAAAAATGGCCAAAGCGACCTGATGCTTCGACCTGTGAGTGCCATGGCCGCACAAGCCCTAATCAAACTAGAAGAAAACGTAAGCTGCACCAGGAAGGACCTTCGTAACATGTATGCATGCAGATGTTCATCTCTGTGAAATGGCAAATATGTAGACTTGAGCCCAAGCAACCAAACGAACAAAAGGCGCAAAATTTACAGATTCCATCAGGCAAAACGTGCTGGGATGGGGACTTTTTTCTTCTCCTTCCGATGATGTTTACCTTTGCCACCTTTACCATTCCTTCCAGACATGAAAGACATCATGGCCATGTGCCAGGCTGAACAGGTTCAACCTTCTCAGAGCTGTCCTTGCAGTCCAGGCCCAACCTTTGCCGCTGTAGACGACCAACATCTGCAAGGCTTGAACCGAGCAACTGTAGAGCAACTGTAATCAACCAAAATGGCAAGCAAAGAGCTACAGTCAGCGCGTCACTGCTGCCTGGCCGTGCGAGCCGCTAACATTCAGTGCTGCTAGCAGAGGCGACCTCGTGAATTATCAAAGGTACCCGACCCAGCCCATCCACTCACCAACCTCAAAAACACCCACGGTTGCAAACACCGTTACAAAACACTTAATATTCATCGTCACGCTTAGAAAGGAGAGCCACCGCCAAGAGCCCGAGGATGCGCAACTAGACACAAATTCACCTTGTCGGTTCATCCAATACTAACAACTAATTGCTTTTGGACAAGGCTGTTGGCTCAATATTGCCTTGACCACTGCGGACTTTACACTTCACGGGTGGTTAATGATTGATCTGTTCTGGGAGTGGGAATTAGCAATTGAAGGCACAGGGGTTACGATTTTGATGTCTTATTACGAACATGAGGCGCGCATGGAACTTGAGCCGTTACTTTGGATCATCAATAGCTTTTGATTTTGGGGTACTGGACCAGCTTCCGAATTGAAATTCTGGAGTGGCTTGCCTGTGCAAAAAAAGTTTTCAATTACTCCGAAACCAGCTGCACACACATATGTTTTTGATGATCCTGACTTCATGCAGGGAACCTGGAAGCATGGCCATGAAGGTTCTAAGACCTCGAATTCCCGCATGTACCACAACATGTTGACATGCCTCTACACCGACCCTGTCCGAGCTCGAGACTTGCGGCATGGTGGGCCCAAGTCCAGTGAAACATCCTGATCTGGAGCAAATGATTTGAAGTTTAGATCAGATTTTGTGGCTAGCATCAATGGCAACAATGCAGTGCAATCACGACAAGATGCATGCTTGCAACCGTCTCCAGGTTGAAAAATGACATGGAAAATATGGTTGCCAAGCCACATTCTTTTTGGTCGCGAAAAGGTGCCGCACTAACAAGAGCCTCAAGCATGTAAATGTGATCCACGTTGACGTTTGACATTAAGCTTCTAATAGCCAAGCAGCTCCACAAGGATCCACGTCAAACGTGCCATCGATCACAGTAAAGCTGTTGCTGCTAAGGATGTTCATCACCATGGCGATATTTGCTGTGTTCGCAATGAATTCACGCGGTCTCTTGTGTTTTCGCGGGGCAACAATGCAATCCATTATGAAACAATTCTATGAACAAACAACTTCACTACACAACGCCACGGCACTGGACGAACAACAGCGCGAATTAAGTGGAACGTTCTGCGTTGCCACAGGACTTCTTGAATTCTAGCTATTTACGATACGCAACCGCCAAAAATCAAAACACGGACGTTGCAATTGCCTTCGAATTTCAAAAATACAGTGCAATGCGAGCATCTTGTTGCACAAGCACTGCACAAATCCATTTCAAGAGCTGGGCCTGAAAAGGTGAAAGGCGTATATGCACGCACACAAAAAAAACTCACAACTGAAACGCTCCAAATTTAGCAAGGACACCAAGCAAAGCGGCAAATGAAAAGAACAGGCGGAAAGCTTCAATATTCACCTCGGGGCAACTCAGATTTAGAAAGCACGCTTCGCAACAAAATTTCACAATTGCAGGGTCCCACGTTTCGCAAACAGCACAGACCACATGGCCTCATGGCCACAACTCCAACAAAATTTGCACTCTCATGGCACGCTCAGCGCGCCCCAAGAAATTCCCGAAACTACACGAACATGTGAATGGCCAATCCATCTCTCCTGCTGGGGAAAAAGCATCCTTTTCAAACGAGGATTTCAAAATTTATCAATCATAATATCAGAAAGATCCATCCAAATGATATTCAAGGCAAACAATCGCAGTACGTATACATATAAGTATATTTTGCATACCGAACGGGCGCTTTTTTCAACATGGGGATTGACACCTCACGTGCCCAACACAACGGTTGGGGTAAGCTCTTTCGGCCCATGCTCATTTTGAGCGCGCCTGACTGACTTCTACGGACCAGGTGTGCACCTTTGACCTCTACTGCACCTTGTTGCAAGCTGGGTGCACACACACTGTCCACACGACTGTGGACCACAAAGTGCAACCTGAAAGTTGCACGCAACCTTTACTGACTGAGATTTACTGCGCTTCTTGGCAACGCAGCGCACGTCGGAATCCTGTATGCTCACAGGGTGGGTTTAGGGAGGGATGCTCAATCAATGCCACGCCTGACATTGTTCACCAAAGTTGGCTGGGCTAGGGAGGGTGCAACTTTGGGCTCAAGTGCCCCCCCACTTCCCAACTTGGGACGTCAACGAATATGCAACACATATTGTCATGCTCACGCCAAGGATTGTTGAATTTTGAAATTGCCTCGTAAACTCGAAACCATTTCAAAACTTAATCAATCATAGTATCAGAAAGATCCATGCAAATGATATTCAAGGCAAACAATCGCAGTTTATATATATATATAAAGTTGCATACCGAACGGGCACTTTTCAACATGGGGATTGACACCTCACGTGCCCCACACCGCTCTTCAAACAAATCACGGGGGGTCGTCAAGGCGTACCGAGGTCAGCGGGCAAAGGCAACTATCCCTACTAAACCCCCCGGCTAAGTAAACCAATGATCTCGCCTCGCGACGGATTATTCTTTTTTTCACCTTTCACCCGCAGTGGTCTGGTCTGACCTACTAGCGAGCTTTGTACACGACCTAGGTCGCGGCTGCTCTGTGGCAGCGATGTGCTAATGGGAAGTGAAACAGGTCGTTAGCTGCTGTCCTACAGCCGTAGCTTACTTACTGCAGGAGGGTGCAACTGCGCACCGGTAGACACTGTGGGTCTGCAGAGTTGGGGCCATAAATGGCAACCATGAAAGTACAACCTAAAAGCGTTGAGCCAGCACAGGATGCGCAGAACAGTCAGCGCAGACAGACGAAGCATTCCCATGGCAACTGTGCAGAAACCTACTTTTTCTTTGCACGCAACTGCTGCGTTTCCAGGTGACCCGGCAGGCACACCAGCCCCTGGCAGAGTACTGAGCTACCCCCTCACAATTCTGCCTCCCTCACTTGATGAGACAATCAATCACGTAACACTGCTCAGTGATTTCAGGAAGGAATCTGGTGAGCGCTTGACGGCGGGCTAATTGTCATCTGACACCAGATATCAGTAGTTTCTGGGAGGAAAGCAGCTACACGATAGTGTCCGGCCTGTCAGGATGGTCCCAGATGCACAATAGAAGTGATAAGTGATAATCTGACACCTTTGCCACCTGACTTCCAGCGGGAGCTCAATCATTCTGGAAGCCAGGTCAAGTGGGCGATCATGTGCTTAACAATGCCTTGGTGAGTTTCCCTATATCTAGGCAGCTGGAGGAAGATATGTCTAGGTGCTCTATGCAGCCCATGGGTGGTGCGCTGCACGTGCCAGGAATTTATGGCATGTTGAACGCTGGAATTTACAGAGTCCATCAGGTGGGTTTAACATGAGCACATGCACCACACCGCTGTGTATGTTCTCTTCGCTGGGGCCTTCCACCAGCAAACGTGCACCCCAGGCGAACGGGTCGCCTATCCATGTAAGTCGTGGCAGGAAAACTGAAGGAACTCAACCACGTCATGTTGAATAAGCGTTTGTTGCCATCCTAGCAGCTGCAAGCGTCGGAAATTTACAGGTGTGCGTTAGCCTTACTCACTAGCCCACCACCAACCCCAGGTTCTCCTCCCAAGGTTTCCCGGTGGAAACTCTATTTGCTAGCATACGCTGGCTAGAAGGTGAAGGTAAGCAAAGTTCACTCGCGTTAGCAGTCTAGCTCGTTACCAAACTCGCTCACGCTCAGACACTCTACGGCGAAGCCCTAGCTAAAAACGCTCCGGTCTTTTTGGCTTGGTGGCGAAAGTCCGCTCTCTGTAACTACGGAGTGAAGTCTCTAGCAACCCGCTAGCCATCAACTCCTTGTTGCCCGAGAGAAGTCTCTAGCTTTCAGCTAGCCATCTTCCACGCGTAGCCACAGAGGGCTGCCAGGGCCTTAGCGTACGGAGCTTTTCGGACTTTCTGACCTTCAAAGGTCGGGCTTTGCCCTGCTGCTTGAAATGTAGCAGTTCCTGGTAGAAACCATTGGCGTGCTTTAAAAGCTTATCTAGCACTCGCCATTGAATATCTTCGCCCTTCAAGGGAAACCGAAATTCCGGACTGAATTCTTTGAAATTTTCGTTGGTGAGGTCTTCTGCTAGCTGGTAGCATCTCTTCTGATCCACGTCAAGCCTAGCTCGCAAGACTTGAAGGCCAGCTCCTCGGCTAGCTCGAGCAAAACTAGCGTCGACGGAAATTTGGCGGTCATAGCTTTCTTGACCAGGGCCTCATTGGACTGATTGTCCGTGTAGCCTCTGATAGCTAACTTCGAAACTTGCCGGTCCTTGGAATCGGGGACCCAAAGTTTCACAGCTATCAACGTCGCTAGCAATTCAAGCGAAGCAATAACTTTGTCACGGCTATCTTTGGAAAAGGTCCAATGTGCCCAACTTCTCGTTACTTCTAGCAAGAACTACGGACTGTGGCACCCAGGCACGATCTCCATAAAGCCTATCCAGACTCGACCGTTTTCGACCTTCGCATCTGTAAAGAAAACTATCTCTTCATCGCCTCTCTGAAGCCAGTCTCCCGTCTCTAGCCTGTCGGCTAGGGGCCATTTCTCTCGCAGTAACTTGGCCCTCGACCTTCTCTCTTAGCCAATTAACTAGCCAACACCCGCTTTTGCGTGAGGTCAAGCTTGGAGCTGCGCAAGAGATGGTTCTGAAGATTCTCAATGGCTGGATACAAGCTGAAGACTTGGGCGTCGAGGGCCTGCTAGAACGTGTTCTGGGCAACCGCTACGCCTGAAACTCATTCGAGCTACACTACAAGCTGCAGATGATCCGGATAGAGACTTCTTTGTGAAAGCGGAAAAGGGTCTTCCAGTGAGGATCTTGGAGCCGCTACAGAGGACTTCTCATGCACGTTTTTGGTTGAGAAACAACCCAAGTGGCCGCTAGATAGCGACTCTTGGAAATCCAGCCTGGCATGGGTCCCCAACTACTTCTCCGCTAAGAAACACAGCGACTTTGCTAAGAAGAAGTTTGAAGAGGAGATAGCGGATGTCCTTGGAGACCTTTTGTCGGCGCTTTGGCGAAAACTCTGCTACAGCTGCGCCAGCTGTTATCGTGGAAGATGAGGAGATGGCAAAAAGATACACATGGAGCGCGGGTTTTCCACCGCATCTGCTGTCGAGATAAGCTACGTGCTTCAGGGGCCAGAGAAAAGAAGCAGCTGCTGCTGGAGATGATGGAACGAGGAGAAGTTGCCTTTTCAGTGGTGGGCGATATCTCCAAGGCTCATTGCCGATTCAAGCACTGCGAAGAGGAACATGGTTTTCTAGGCTGCCAGATAGATGAGGCTAGCGATACCGTCTACGTGAACCAGGTAGGGACCTTCAAGGTCAACTGCTGCAGCCGACTTGAGAGCGACGCACCACCTACTTGGAAAGCTGCCGCGACGATCTGGAGTCCTTAGCTACGACGGCGAAGGGGGAGGATGGGGATGGTACTCAGCTGTCTCTATCTATCTGCTATGGCTGCTATGGGCTACCCCTTCAGTGGGCAAAGACGAGAGGCGGCTTCAGGGTGGGTAGGCATCAGCCTTCCTCGCCCCCAGTAGCGGAAGTCCTCCTTCTCTAGTATAGCAGGACCGCCTGCAAATCCAAGCGCTTTGAAGAGGCTGCTCCGCAGTCAGTCCCAGTTCCTGCCTTCAGCTAGCTTGCGTCCTTCGTGGAGCCAACGACCAGGTGAGCATGGTTCCCCTCCATCGTGGAAGGGTTTATCTCGCCCCACAGCTGGCAAGTTCTCGGGGGTCCAGACCCTCCTAGTAGTCGTCCTTCTTCGCAGAACATGTCGAGAAGCAGAAGAAGCGCAGGTAGCCAGTTGCATCGCTGCTATCCATTGGTACATCTTTGCTGGCCACATCTCCGGCTACTCTTCCTGTAGATCCTACGCCATTTCATATTCATAAGCGGCACACTTCCCTGACAGCTCAGCAGCCCGAGGAT